ACCATGCATAATGAACAACAACAACAATGCCCACGGCAGCTCACAATCATCCAGCTCTGCAAGGCTCCCAACCGGAGCTTGAGGCGTCAGCAAGAGGAACCGAATCACCCACTCTTCTTTCGCTAGACTTCACCGCCACGGATCCCCTTCTCCTTCCACCTCAAGACAACAAAACATTTCACCTACTTTATCATACGCCTCAGCCATCTCCTCCATTCACCCAACCAAAATGATACAGTAACAGAATTTCAGAAACCCCTTTCAGACCTCGGCATCCACGCTCTATGTACCCGCAATAAATCTGAACTCCTAAAATTGTATTCCAACACCACATTAGACTTTCACCCTTTACTGACCCCACCTGCAAGAGCAACCAATAAGAAATCCAGCTCCCTTTCACACTCCCTATCCACAACCTTTTCATTCTCAACTATTGCAAGGCAAAAAAAAAAAAAAAAAATTAAACCTAACCAGACCCCTAGATGCACTCCCTCAAGACCACACCTCCAGGAAACCCAGTCCCCACAAGCTACGTCACCTGACATCCACCAATAGGATATCAACTAGGACATTAACAGTTCTCTTCATTTCCGCTCACAAACCATATCCCACCCCTTTTCCTTGACCTCCAGCCCCCCTTTTAGCTTTTTAACCAGTCGCCACATCCTTTCTGCTTCAGCTACCCACTTTCATCTTAACATTCCCATTCCTCCAGTCCTTCCCCAAGCTCAAGCTCTTACCCTCCATCCCCAACTCTCTGCTTTTGTTCTATGACCCCAGATCAGTCCCCCCCAGCCGAATCCCCATTAAAACAATCCTTTCTACTTTCTTTCTCCTTCTATCCCCCCTTCACACACTAGCACAGACCCTCCCCATCATTCGACTCTCATCTACCCTCTCTTTTCAACTTCATGTCCTCCCTTCACCCTGTCCACAGCCACGCCCTTTCCCTATGCCACATAATGCTCTAGACCTGGGACCTCCAAAAGTTTCAAATGCTGCAAGGAACCAGATACTTTCAGGTGCCAACATTGATCTCATCACTCTCCTGTCAACCATTATACCTCCAATGACAAAGAGTCTGGCAGATTGCAGTGAGTTTACACTTAACCTTAAACAATCCTCCAGCACCCAATATTGTATACTGTCACTAGCTGAATTCAATGTCACCTTCGCTATACTGCTATCATCTGTTCCGTTTTCCCCTATAGGTGGTGCAAATTAAATTACTTTATAGTCATCAACACACTTCTACTCGTACCATAAACTCTTCGCTGCCAAGTGTGCCATCCATGTGACTCAGGCCCCGTTTACACTAGTACGTTTTAGTTTTAAAACGGCGTTTTAGAATGAAAACGATCCGCGTCCACACTCGCGTTTTACCCAGCGTTTCTGAACTGCTCTCCGTCCACACCAAAACGCTGAAAACGCACATCACGTGACCACACAGACGCTCTCGGGCAAGCGCTGCAGCCCATGTACCCAGATGAGAGCTCTGCTAGTCGGACTTCTCATCAAGCATCTCCCGCTGGATCTAATCTCACTATATTTATTAAACGGGATATTTCATTCATCTTGTTGTCTTTATCTAACGACATATCCCCTGACTTTGGTCACTGGAATCTATTACTTGTTCTCAGGTAACGTGTTTTGGCTGAGCGCAAAAATAAGTTAATGATTAATGTAACCACGTACATTCTGTATATTGACTTATCGCTTGCCTTTATTTCCTATAATGTATAAACTTATTGTATGTTATACTTTTAAAATGGCCATTATCGATTCTTAAAACTGATACTCAGCAAAAGAGAGGGGATGTTTCGTATTTTCACTGAAATTGAAAGGAGGCAGTTGTTATCGGCTCCGTTTTGTTATAAATATCCAGACAGTGAAGATGACGCTCATCTTATACAGCACGGCGCCTCAACATGTCTGCTGTCTAAGTTGCTAATATTAAAATGAAAATAGGCAGTTCCTTAAATCATGTTTACATTTTATTGTTGAGAAAGTGAAACAACGAAGCCAGGGTGATGTGAATGAAGTTATAAAGTACACTGTTCCCTTTGAAGATTTACCCGTGTCCTCGGTATAGTCTGCTTTTCCATATCAAACTGAGAAGAAGAGACTGCAGCCTTGATCAAACTTGCGAAGTCTGAACTTACACGGAGAAGATTCAGGACTGAACTGTGTGTTAGGCTACTTAATATTCAGGAAAAGCCCCAATCAGAGAGGCGAACGTCTGCAGCCCCGCCTCCGTTTTCAGATGTCTCCGTTTTCCATCATCCACACTGAGACGGAGCAGCAGCGTTTCAAAATGAAAACGGCCTCTCCAGCGTTTTCGAAACGCTCCGTTTTCGGCGCTCGAGAACTCCGGCGTAGTGTGGACGGTTGGCGTAACCGTAGCAAAACTTATGCGTTTTCAAACTAAAACGCATTAGTGTAAACGGGGCCTCAGTGGAATCAGTGTGCTTACCGGCGGTTTTTTGAACACTGGTCTCCACATTCCACACTCCACAGTCTTCTTAGGTTGCCACAATCTGTCTTCTGCGGTCTGCTGTTCTAGCCTTCACCCCACTTACCTCCTGCCCTTTCATCTTTTCCACTTCCGATTTAGCAAAACCTACCCCTAAATCTACCAGCTACTCCCACGCCCCCATTTGCCCTGTGCTAAAAGCTAATAATAAAAAATTTAAAAATTACCTGTCGACTCCAGTGAATATTCTCCACCTGGCTTTTGAATTACATTCTCACCCTAATAGTAATTTGTCTAAATTTCTTATTTCAGGTCTAACCCACTGATTTCCCTTAGGCTTTTCAGCTCTTCCTTCCTACAAGCTCTTCTGCCCTAATCTACAATCAGTGACCACAGAACCCCAAACAGTCGACCAATTAATAAAAAATGATTATTTCATAATCGGACCGTTCTCTGCACCGCTGTTCAGCATTTCTCTTAACAGCGGACCTACCGCATCATATTTCTATCCCTAATATTTCTCAAGAAAAAATGCACAAAGTGTGAACTCCTCTCTATTCTCGGACATTAGAATTTTTCCATGCACATTATCCCCCAAGGTCACCCTTTATTATGCACCTCCTTCAGCTCTCCACTACAGTTCACAGTCTAGAAGACACCATTTGTCTTTCCAAACCCAGTCGCAATGAGCTCAACTTATGGATACTTTTCCTTAAACTATGGAATGGTTGTTCCTTTGTCTACAGCAACCTGATTTCATCCCCAGTAGATAACCTATTAACCTATAAATTAACCTATTTTCTGACGCCGCCCCCCTCTGTTTGTTTTGGGGAATTTTATCAGAGGCATTTATTCGCTTTATCATGCTGTTTAAATCTGACATGATATTCCACGTAGAGCTGTAATCGGGCCTTGAAAATTAGGCCTGATACAGCCCGAGCCTGACAGAATTCGGCCCGAGCCCGAAAGGTACATTTTGATTGACAGCTTTATAAAGCCCGAACCCGTTTAAAGCCCGACATTATTCAAATGTGCACATGCAAACAGCTCTTTTGTTTTTTTTCAAGAATGAGTCATTTATATATTTTAACATAATTTATTAGTAACAAACATAGGCTATAGGCCACTTGAAAGTTGGAACAAAGAAATAAAATAAGTCCTTTGTAACATCGTAACATTTCAGCACTCTAAATAGGCCTAGGTACATACACTTAGCCTTTAAATTGGCCAACACACCAATTAATAATAAGTCTTTCCTAACAAATTAAATTTAAAAATTCTAAATTATGATGGGTATTTGGCAATTACGAAATTAAGATAAAGACTCTGCAAGATTTGTTTTGCCACTTATCTTCACAATCTGGCATTAAGGTGACGGTGAAGCTGAATAATAAAAGAATAGCCTAATGCCAACATTAGCCTGTGTACACTGTCTACATTATGATTTTATGGTATAATTAACATTTATTTATAATTTAAAAAACCCTTTACTTACCAAGATTAGGTAAGTAAACAAAAACATTACGTGTTTTTGTGGAGGAACATTATTGAATCCACTGTAAATGGCTTTAGCGCAGTCCTGCGCTGATGGTACGTCCAGCAGCACTGAAGACCCTTTCACTGCTGTTGCTATAGGCTGAGATGCATAGTTCTGATTTGGCTAATTTTGCAACTTTTAGGTAGGATTGTTTTTCATCTTTTACCAACCAAGAACACCCATTTAATTTTCCATGACAGCGGTTTCAATGTAGCGAGTGGTCTCGTCATCTTCCCTGTCATCTTGCTGTGCTGTTTAGCCCTCGACCATAATACGTAGTGTACCGCCCAAATACCTTTGCGGCTAGAATGACAGGTTATATTTGAACTGGTGGCTGGCCTGACCGCAGTCAAAATTCGTTCTTTTTGACATCATCATCTATTGTTTCACCTTTGCAGGGAGAGAATTTAATGTTGTAACAAACGATTTAATTACTTTCTCGCGCTAATCGAAAAGCATCACATGACAGTTCATTTACTGCGCAAGCCAAGCCCGGCCTGACTCGACCCCGTCTAAAAGGATAGAAATTAAACCCGAACCCATCGGGCCCCACCAGGTCCCGTCGGGTTCAGGCAAAAATCTTTAGCTCAAATTCCAGGAATTCCACAACTCATGAGAACCCTGCTAATTAAATGGGCGAATATGTTTAAGTGAATTTGTGTAATATGTGTAATTTTATAACATTTCACCAGATACAAATATTTAAGGTGCAAGTCTGTGAACTTTATGTTGTAGTAAATCATGTTAAAGTATCATCTAATTTTGTTTACCACAGGCATTAATTTACTAATTAATTGAAAACCCTGATATAAAACTTTAGGAAAATATCAATGGAACCAAGTGAAGCATTTGTCTGGGTTATTATGTCATTCCTTCAATGCTCTATTATTATTTGACAAACAACCAGCCAATGAACATTGGATTGGAATATCTGTAACATAACAGAGCAGTAGGATTATTTACATGCACATTCAATAATAATCCCCTGACCTTGGTAATTCCTTTGAAGCCTGTTGTTGTAGTATTATTGACTTCTCTGTTTTAGATTTCCTTCCTCTGCGCTTCAGTAACATAATTGATGTACCTAATTACAAACAGAAACACATCACATCCATAATCATTGATATGCTGCTTAACTAGACAAAAAAACAAAATTTAAGAGGTTTCAAAAGGCAATCGACACCTGTTGATAGGAAATCTAAACCGGAACCGCCTGCAGTTGGGCTTGAATTTTCTGTATCAGAGTCTTGTTCAGCATCACTCTGTTAAAACCAAATCAAATATTTTAATTCTCAAAGTTATGTCATGGCCATGTGACCTAATCACAGGCACTACCAGCAAAGTATAAATGTTTTTACCTTTCTCTTCCTTCCTCTTTTAGCTTTGGCAGTGACATTTGTCGAATCTTTCTGTGATAGGTCCTGGAGACAAACAAACAAACAGATAAAAGCATGAGCCATTTTAAGGCACATTATGCTACATTCAAAGCCACATTCTATATTCCACAGTATATACTACACCATTATTCACCACAGAAAATGCACAACATTTTTTTTTGTTTTTTTTTTAGAAAACTAGGGATTGAAGCAAAAGATTCTGTGTTTGAGATTTTGGAAATCATTTCATTTTTTTTTCTCAAAACATCATGAAATTTGATCTTTGAAATGAATTTTGATCTCCCTGATGTTCCTATGCTGAAGTTCCTATGAACAATGTTTGTTTGAGCATCTATCTATATATATATATTAGGGGTTTAATGGTTCACAAAAATCTTGGTTCGGTTCGATACGACACAGTGGTGTCACGGTTCGGTACATTTTCGATACAGCAAAAAAAGAAAAAAGCCAAAGGATTTTTCTGATTGAATTTTTTTATGTATTAAAGCTCAAATCATAAAAGTATGATCCTGTTGTTTTTTTCTTTTACTTTAAACAGTGATAGAGCTATACTTTCTGCTTGGCAGCAAATAAAACAAATCCTTCTTTATACTCAAAACCAAAAAGCTGCTTATAAAAAATAAATATAATATTGTAGCAGTTAAACAAATAAAAAGAAAAGAACAATTTAATTTTTGTATGGAGCTCAGTTTCAATCTATTTTTAAGTATTTTTTTTATTTTCAGAAAGATGATGTCCACCTTTTCCTCAGACAGCACAGATCTGCATGATTTGATGGTCACCTGCCATTTTAGTGGATCTTAAAGCAGGAATTATCTGACTGAAATGGGCTTAATGTAACGGGGCTCTATTACGTTTACTATTTTCTTAAAACCCCACATTTTCACTACCGATTAAGATCTCTCAGATGTTTTTTTTCCACCACTGTCTTGGGGTGAGTTGTGCTTAACGTACCTGAAGAGCTGGGAGGGATGCGGTGGAGAGGGGTGTACGATGTATTTAAGGGCCAGGGCGGAGATGCACAATTTCCAAAAGACTATAATTCGTTTGCGGGCATCCAGGAGTCTCCCGAAGCTTCCGGGAGACTTGGGATGTCTGGGAGTACATTAACGTTACTAGCCATTTTGCAAGCTAGTGTAGCGCCTGCTTGGAGTAGTGTTTGGAGGTTGGCTCTTTTGTGTCAGGGGTCCAGGGTTGTTGGGGAAACGGGGGCGGAGCCAGCACAAGCAGCCAGGCTGACACAGAAGCTAGCAAGATTGCTAATGAGCGCATGCTTTAATAAATTGATATTTTGAGTTCAAAAGCGATGGTCTACTGTTTAACATGACAGCAGGGAAGGCAGCATGTTGTCTGCCACGTCATTTGGGATGCCATGTTGAGCGTTGTTGCACTGAAAACATTATATTTTGTACTTATTCCTTTTTATCTTTTTAGATATTAGTCTGAATTGAATCGTTCGGTTCGTAATGCGTACCGAACCGAAAGTCTCGTCCTGAACGGTTCAATATGAATATGTGTGTCGTTACACCCTAAATATACATATATATATATCACGAGTACAAATCCCTCCCTCCACTCTGCTGTCAATAGTTGAAGACTTATTTAGGCCTTTTTACATATAACAAGTGAAAGTTCTGTTTTGACAATATTGCAAGTTCACTAAAAGCTGGCTGGAATTATTAGATAAATAAAACTTTAGTTATTTTTTTACATTAATTTGTAATAATATACATTGTTGTAGTACACTCATTGATTTAAACAGTATGTTAAAGGCCTATTTCCTTTAAGTAAAGAATTATTAGATTTATAGGTGTGCATTTTAATTTATTATGCATCAAATGTGAGCTCCAAATTTTTTCTTGATCAAGACATGTTGAATTCTTTTTTCATAATTTGCAATGTTTCCAAATTGCATTGCAATTTTTCATTAAATTTTTTTTTTAACTTTGTTATATTATTTTCTGTGGCAGTGTATTCCACTGTGGCAACCCCTAATAAATAAGGGACTAAGCCAAAGTAAAATGAATAGATGAATTATCTTCTGTAAAGCTGCTTTTAGCCATGACAGCTTTGACCCAACTTGGCTGTCAGAGCGGCAATACTCACCCTGGCTATACAAGACTGATCGTGGTAAGTCAGTCAATTCACCCTTAGGAAAAAGTATGCTTACTTAAAGGTCAAGGATAAAAGTATACTTTATTAAGTAAGTATACTAATTTCAATATACTAGTAGTGTACTTGAAATGTTCTTCCAAAAACCCATTAAGATACATTGCAGTGATTAAAGCTGCACACTTTGTGGATAAAAAATATATAAATATAAATGTTAATTTTTAGCTTGTGTGGTTGTACAGTTCAAATAATTGTTAAGTTTTTTATTGCCGTCACTAAAAGAAACAAATTAACACCATGACTCCTCGTGTCAATGTCAGTCTAAACAGCTGAACACGCCCGGCCGCACCCTCAACCCCCCCTCAACCTGTGAACCTAAAGTAAACACTGCATAATGTCAGAAAAGTAAATGCAGTAAATGAGTGTATTTACTTTATGTAGTGTCTTTTAAAGTTAATGTTAAACAGATCAAACAGAAAAAAAAAATTTTGTTACTTATATCTTAAAATACATCTTAATAATTTCTCCTACAAGCTGGTCTGACTGCCTATGTGTGAAATGCAGGTATCATGTCTCCAAAGTAATGCACATTGTAACTTCCAGGCACGGCTATGTCTAATAAATGGCTGGGTCATACTTTCAGGCGAAGCCCAAAAACAAGATTTGTCTACTAAACCTGTAATGGCAGTTTCGGTTTCTAAGAAAGCACTGCCCACTAAATTTTGTATTTAACTGTGTACTAGCTGCAGTATTACAGAGATTTTTCCACGAATGCCACAGCGATGGCGACTTCTCATTAAAGGATTCTGCTTTGAAGATACCTGAAATTTCTCCTGGTTTTGATTGTTCTTTAAAGGGCACCTATTGTAAAAAAATCTACTTTTCAAGCTGTTTGGACAGATCTGTGTGTTGGTATAGTGTATAGACCATCATACTGGGGTGATATGAACACACCCAGTCCTTTTTTTTCAATTTAACTACAAAAAAAAGGGTCAGCCAATTGGAGCTGTTTTCAAATCGATCGCACCATTACGTAGGTGTGCGATCCCCCCGCCCACCGAATTGATTGACAGCTGCGTGTATTAACATATCCTGAGTTTGCCGTTTCCGCCATTATCAGCGTGTACGTCGAAGCAATGGAACCAAGAGAACACCCTTGTGCTATTTTAGGATGTAAGGCTCAGCACAAGAGCCTTCACCGTCTTCCTGCAAATGAGCAACAGAGGCTTAAGTGGCTGAGTTTTATCTTTGAAGACAAGGTGCCTGAAAATGTACCAAAACTGTTTGCGCTAACCACTTTAGCGTAAACTGCCTCGAGAACGAGTGACAATACAACTCCGGATTCGCGAGTAAATTGTTTTTGAAAACTGGATCAGTTCCTACAATACGTGATCCTGCCTCACTTCAAGTAAGTATTACATTTTATGTACTTCTAGCCTTAGCATTCTAATTATGTTAAGCCGATGAATAGCATCTGCGGCTAAAGTAGCTTCGGATGTTTTTTTGCACGTGTTTACCTCTTATTGTGCTTTTCAAAAACAGTCTAAATACTCGAAGCTGCAAATGGTAGTGTTTACATGAAGGGGGTTTAGCCATTAGAAACAGAAACCATAGAAAAATAGCAACATTGTAAAAAGCAGTACCACTGGCTACAGCTAAAGTTTGTTGTTGTTGAATGTTTGTTGTACTGTAATGGTAAGCCGAAACGAATAGCATCTAAAAGTTAAAAGCAGCTAAAGTTGCTCCGGATGTTTCTTTGCACGTGTTTACTGCTATTATGCTTTTCTAAAACAGTCTAAATAATCGAAGCTATAAGTGGTAGTGTGTTCAAGAAGGGCTTTTAGCCATTAGAAACAGAAACCGTAGAAAAATATAAACATTGTAATAAAGCAGTAACCAGTACTGGCTACAGCTAAAGTTTGTTGTTTATGTGGGATGTTTGTTGTAATGTGTATACTGTAATGTTAAGCAGAAATTAATAGCATCTGCGGCTAAAGCTACTTCGGATGTTTGCGCGTTTACAGCTATTGTGCTTTTCTAAAACAGTCTAAATACTCGAAGCTTTTAGTGGTAATGTGTACATAAAGGGGTTTTAGCCATCAGAAACAGAAACCGTAGAAAAAATTATTTACATTGTAATGAAGCATTACCACTGACTAAGTTACAGCTAAAGTTTGTTTTGTATGTGGGATGTTTGTTGTAATTTTTTTCACTGTACTTGCACGTGGTCTGCAGTTGTTTACAATAAGATCGGTATGTTTTAATCAAATAAAGGTCATTTTAAAAAATGTATGTTTTCTTACAAAGGCCACGACGTCGACAAAGAGCAACAAGGTGGATGTTGCTTGCCAGACCTTTTCACACATCTTTACACAGTGTTGGTACCCAGTTGTCTTTTAGGACGCTTCAGGCTAAATGCAGGAGTACAAGTAAGTTAAAATTTCTCAGTTTATTTTAAGTTGCTGCATTAGAAACGTGTTTTATTATCTTTATAAACGTGCAATGAGATTAATCATAAAATTACACTATAGGTGTCCAGACAACAGTATCCAGTTTTGAACTGACTGTACCATTAGCGTCCTCTACTGCGTTTATGACTTCAACACCCCTTAAACCTTCACTAAAAAGACCTCGTCTGGAGCTGGAGGAGGAGGAAGAAGAAGAAGCCGAAGAGACTTTGACAGAGTCAAAAATTATAGCCCATGACTCGGATGTGACATTTGACCCTGCAGAGGAATGCACATCTGCAACTGAACCAACAGACTTGTCGTGAGTTTATGCATAATGTAAATTATTTGAAAGATTGTGTATTGTCATCATACCATTCATCATCATTTTTTTAAAATTATGTACATGTGTATATTTATTTTTACAGAATCCAAGAATGCCCAGTTCATAACATTGCCAAGTTC